CAAGAGAGCGGGAGTTGAGAGGCAAGAGAGCGGGAGATGAGAGGCACGAGAGAGGGAGCTCAGAGGCAAAAGAGTGGGAGCTGAGAGGCAAGAGAGCGGGAGCTGAGAGGCAAGAGAGCAGGAGCTGAGAGGCAAGAGAGCGGGACCTGAGAGGCAACATTGTGGATTCTGAGAGGAAAGAGAGCGGGAGATGAGAGGAAAGAAAGCAGGAGCTGAGAGGAAAGAGAGCGGGAGCAAAAAGGCAAGAGAGCAGGAGCTGAGAGACAAGAGAGGGGGAGCTGAGAGGCAAGAGAGAGGGAGATAAGAGGCACGAGAGCTGGAGACGAGAGGCAAGAGAGCAGGAGCTGAGAGGCAAATGAGCGGGAGATGAGAGGCAAGAGAGCGGGAGCTGAGAGGCAAGAGAGCAGGAGCTGAGAGGCAAGAGATCGGGAGCTGAGAAGCATGAGAGCCGGTGCTGAGAGGCAAGAGAGCGGGAGGTGAGAGGCAAGAGAGCGGGAGTGAAGCAGCAAGAGAGTAGGAGCTGAGAGGTAAGAGAGGGGAAGCTGAGAGGCAAGAGAGCGGGAGATAAGAGGCACGAGAGCGGGAGACGAGAGGCAAGAGAGCTGGAGCTGAGGGGCAAGAGAGCGGGAGCTGAGAGGCAAGAGAGTGGGAGCTGAGAGGCAAGAGAGCGGGAGCTGAGAGGCAAGAGAGCGGGAGCTGGAGGCAAGAAAGCGGGAGCTGAGAGGCAAGAGAGCGGGAGCTGAGAGGCAAGAGAGCGGGAGCTGAGAGGCAAGAGAGTGGGAGCTGAAATGCAAGAGAGCTAGAGCTTAGAGGCAAGAGAGCGGGAGCTGAGAGGCAAGAGAGCGGGAGCTGAGAGGCAAGAGAGCTGGAGCTGAGAAGAAAGAGAGCGGGAGCGAAGAGGCAAGAGAGCGGGAGCTGAGAGGCAAGTGATCTGGAGCTGAGAGGCAAGAGAGCAGAAGCTGAGAGGCACAAGAGTGGGAGATGAGAGGCAAGAGAGCAGGAGCTGAGAGGCAAGAGAGTGGGAGCTGAGAGGAAAGAGAGTGGGAGCTGAGAGGCAAGAGAGCTAGAGCTTAGAGGCAAGAGAGCGGGAGCTGAGAGGCAAGAGAGCGGGAGCTGAGAGGCAAGAGAGCTGGAGCTGAGAAGAAAGAGAGCGGGAGCGAAGAGGCAAGAGAGTGGGAGCTGAGACGCAAGAGAGCACGAGCTGAGAGGCAAGAGAGCAGGAGCTGAGAGGCAAGAGAGCAAGAGTTAAGAGGCAAGAAAGGGGGAGCTGAGAGGCAAGAGAGCGGGAGCTGAGAGGCAAGAGAGCAGGAGCTGAGAAGCAAGAGAGCGGCAGCTGAGAGGCAAGAGATCGGGAGCAAAGAGGCAAGAGAGCGGGAGCTGAGAGGCAAGAGAGAAGGGGCGAGGCAATATAGGGGGAGTTCAGAGGCAAGAGAGCCGGAGCTGAGAGGCAAGAGAGCAGGAGCTGAGAGGCAAGAGAGCGGGAGCTGAGAGGCAAGAGAGCGGGAGATGAGAGGCAAGAGACCAGGAGCTGAGAGGCAAGAGAGCGGGAACTGAGAGGCAAAGGAGTGGGAGAAGCATGGCGAGAGAACGGGAGCGTAGAGGCAAGACAGCGGGAGCTGAAAGGCAAGAGAACGGGAGCTGAGAGGCAAGAGAGCGGGAGCTGAGAGACAAGAGACCAGGAGCTGAGAGGCAAGAGTGCAGGACCTGCGAGGCTAGAGGGTGGGAGCTGAGGGGCAAGAGAGCAGGAGCTGAGAGGCAAGAGAGCGGGAGCTGAGAGGCAAGGGAGCGGTAGCTGAGAGGCAAGAGAGCAGGAGCTGAGAGGCAAGAGAGCGGGAGATGAGAGGCAAGAGAGCGGGAGCTGAGTGGCAAGAGAGCAGGAACTGAGAGGCAAGAGAGCTAGAGCTTAGAGGCAAGAGAGCGGGAGCGAAGAGGCAAGAGAGTGGGAGCTGAGAGGTAAGAGAGGGGGAGCTGAGAGCCAAGAGAGCAGGAGCTGAGGGGCAAGAGAGCGGGAGCTGAGAGGAAAGAGAGCAGGAGCGAAGAGGCAAGAGAGTTGGAGCTGAGAGGTAAGAGAGAGGGGGAGCTGAGAGGCAAGAGAGAGGGAGATAAAAGGCAAGAGAGCGGGAGCGAAGAGGAAAGAGAGTGGGAGCTGAGAGGCAAGAGAGGGGGAGCTTAGAGGCAAGAGAGCGGGCAATCAAGGGCACGAGAGCAGGAGACCAGAGCCAAGAGAGCTGGAAATGAGAAGCAAGAGAGTGGGAGCTGAGAGGCAAGAGAGGGGGAGCTTAGAGGCAAGAGAGCGGGCAATCAAGGGCACGAGAGCAGGAGACCAGAGCCAAGAGAGCTGGAAATGAGAAGCAAGAGAGCGGGAGCTGAGAGGCAAGAGAGCGGGTACTAAGAGGCAAGAGAGCGGGAGATGAGAGGCGAGAGAGCGGGAGCTGAGAGGCAAGAGAGCGGGAGCTGAGAGGCAAGAGTGCGGAAGCTGAGAGGCAGGAGAGCACGAGCTGAGAGGCAAGAGAGCAGGAGCTGAGAGGCAAGAGAGCGGGAGATGAGAGGCAAGAGAGCAGGGGCTGAGAGGCAAGAGAGTGGAAGCTGAGAGGCAAGAAAGCGGAAGCTGAGAGGCAAGAGAGCGGGACCTGAGAGGCAAGGGAGTGGAAACTGAGAGGCAAGAAAGCGGGACCTGAGAGGTAAGAGAGGAGGAGCTGAGAGGCAAGAGAGCGGGAGCTGAGAGGCAAGAGAGCAGGAGCTGAGAGGAAAGAGGGCGGGAGCTGAGAGGCAAGATCGCGGGAGATGAGAGGCAAGAGACCGGAGCAAAGAGGCAAGAGAGCAGGAGCTGAGAGGCAAGAGAGCGGGAGCTGAGAAGCAAGAGAGCGGGAGCTGAGAGGCAAGAGAGGAGAGCTGAGAGGCAAGAGAGCGGGAGCTGAGAGGCAAGAGAGCAGGAGCTGAAGAGGCAAGAGAGTGGGAGCTGAGAGGCTAGAGAGGAGGAGCTTAGAGGCGAGAGAGCGGGAGATAAGGGGCACGAGAGCAGGAGAGCAGAGCCAAGAGAGCTGGAACTGAGAGGCAAGTGAGCGGGAGCTGAGAGACAAGAGAGTGGGAGCTGAGAGGCAAGATAGCACGAGCTGAGAGGCAAGAGAGCAGGAGCTGAGAGGCAAGAGAGCGGGAGCTGAGAGACAAGAGAGCTAGAGCTGAGAGGAAAGAGAGCGGGAGCGAAGAGGCAAGAGAGTGGGAGCCGAGAGGCAAGAGAGGGGGAGCTGAGAGGCAAGAGCAAGGGGAGATAGGAGGCATGAGAGCGGGAGATGAGAGGCAAGAGAGCTGGAGCTGAGAGGCAAGAGAGCTGGACGTGAGAGTCAAGAGTGTAAAAACTGAGAGGCAACAGAGAGGTAGATGAGAGGCAAGAGAGCGGGAGCTGAGAGGCAAGAGAGCGGGAGCGAAGAGGCAAGAGAGTCGGAGCCGAGAGGCAAGAGAGGGGGAGCTGAGAGGCAAGAGCAAGGGGAGATAGTAGGCATGAGAGCGGGAGACGAGAGGCAAGAGAGCTGGAGCTGAGAGGCAAGAGAGCTGGACCTGAGAGTCAAGAGTGTAAAAACTGAGAGGCAACAGAGAGGTAGATGAGAGGCAAGAGAGCGGGAGCTGAGAGAAAAGTGAGCGGGAGCTGAAAGGCATGTGAGCGGGAGCTGAGAGGCAAGTGAGCGGGAGTTGAGAGGCAAGAGAGCGGGAGCTGAGAGGCAAGAGAGCCGGAGCTGAGAAACAAGAGAGCGGGAGCTGAGAGGCAAGAGAGCGGGAGCTGAGAGGCAAGAGAGCGGGAGCGAAGAGGCAAGAGAGTTAGAGCTGAGAGGCAAGAGAGGGGGAGCTTAGAGGCAAAAGAGCAGGAGATTAGGGGAAGAGAGCAGGAGATCAGAGCCAAGAGAGCTGGAACTGAGAGTCAAGTTAGCGGGAGCTGAGAGGCAAGAGAGCAGGAGCTGAGAGGCAAGAGAGTGGGAGCTAAGAGGAAAGAGAACGGGAGCTGAGAGGAAATAGAGCGGGAGCTGAGAGGAAAGAGAGCGGGAGGTGAGATGCAAGAGAGCGGGATCTGAGGGGCGAGGGGGCGGGAGTTGAGAGGCAAGAGAGCGGGACCTGGGAGGCCAGAGGGTGGGAGCTGAGGGGCAAGAGAGCTGGAGCTGAGAGGCAAGAGAGCGGGAGATGAGAGGCAAGAGAGCAGGAGCTTAGAGGCAAGAGAGCGGGAGCTGAGAGGCAAGAGAGCGGGTGCTGAGGGGCAATAGAGTGGTGTGAAAAACTCAAGTGATGATTGTATTAGGAAAAGAGTGGGTATACATAGGTTAGGAGTAGGAGGGAGGGGGCGGTTTTGGTTGGGAGGTGACCACGATTATTGGTGACCCCAATAAGTTGAGTTGGCCAACTTATTGGGGGTCCGATGATCCTAGCCAAGATTATTGTTGGGTCCAATAATCTCGGTTGGGATTATCGGGGGTTCCAATAATTGGGAGCCCAACCAATTTGGGAACCCAACAAGGTTGGGAACCCAACCCCCAACTTGGGTGTATACACCCTAGTGGGGTGCTTATGAGTACCTAAGACAATGAAACAATGTAGGCTAATAGAATGAAGGGAGAATATTCTAACACAACCCCTTAGCCTACAAAGTGCCATAAGTCTTGGGAAGGTGAGGAGAAGCAACCCCTGAATCAGGTAGTCCCCTGTGAGGGAGGGGCAAGACCCAGAAGGCGAAGGAGAGTCGCATGGGGACGACGAAGGAGGGCCTTGGTGAAGATGTCTGCAAGGTTGGCTGAAGAGTCAATCTTGCGCACGGTGAGGTGTCCAGCCTGGACGAGCTCACGAACGAAGTAGTGTCGGAGCTCGATGTGTTTGGAGCGACCATGGAAAACGGCTTCCTTTGTGAGGTGGATAGTACTGGCATTGTCGCACCAGATGGTGGGACAGGGCTGGGGAGCATCCAGCTCAGCAAGGAGGAAGCTGAGCCACCGCGCCTCCTGAGCCGCCATGGTGACGGCGTAGAGCTCTGCTTCGCAGGAGGAGAGAGCGATCGAGGAGGAGCGGGTGGAGCGCCAGGAAATGAGGCCGCTCCCGAGGGAGAAACCATACCCTTGTGAGCTGCGACGGTCGGGCTGAGAATCCGCCCAAGAGGAGTCGCTATAGCCAGTGAGCTGAGGAGGGGTGGGGCCACCCAAGGTGAGGACATAGTCCTTGGTGCCTTTGATGTAGCGGAGAACGCGCTTGGCCGCTTACCAGTGCTCGGGAGTGTGTTTGCCAGCGCCGACAAAGCGCGCCAGGACACTGATAGGGTAGGCAAGGTCGGGGCGAGTGCACATTATGGCGTACATCAGGGACCCGACCAGCTCAGCGTAAGGACTGGTGGAGGAACCGTGGGTGGATGTCGGCGAGAGCTGGTGGCCGACTTGGAGGGGTGTGGAGACGGGTTTGGCCGTGGCCATCTCGAAGCGTTCAAGGACCTTCTCGAGGTAGAATGCCAGAGAGAGGGAGATGGTCCTAGCCGCACGATCGCGAGAAATCTCCATCCCGAGGTAGTTGCGGACCTCCCCCAGGTCCTTGCAGTGGAGGCACTTCTGCAGCTCATCCTTGACCTGTTGTAAGTCTGCTTCGTTGTCAGCGGCAAGAAGCATGTGGTCAACGTAGACGAGGATGTAGAAGGGGGAGGGGGAGGTGCGCAGGAAGAGGCAGGAGGAAGCCTAGGAAGGGCGAAAACCAAGAGCACGGAGAGTGCTCGAGAGCTTGGCATGCCATTCCCGAGGAGCTTGCTTGAGGCCGTAGACGGGGCAGCGAAGTTCCCAAACGGTGTTGGGAGGGAAAGGGAGGTGCCATCCCTCGGGACGCTCCATGAAGATGCGCTCATGGAGTTCACCTTGGAGAAATGCCGTGGTGACATCCATCGAGTGCATGATCATGCCGCGCCGGCTGACGAAGTCCAAGAACACGCGGACGATAGGGGGAGTGGCGGTCGGCGAGTAGGTGTCAAGGAAGTCATGGCCGTACCGCTGCGTGAATCCTTTGGCTCAGTAGCAGGCCTTATAGATCGGGTCGTCGCCAAGGAGGAGCTTGACCCGAAATACCCATTTGCCCTTGACCACGTTTTGGTTAAGAGGGCGGGGTACGTCGATGAAGGTGCCGTTGCGGACAAATGCCTCATTCTCTTTGAGGACTGCCTTGCCCCAATGAGGGTGGTCGGGGCATGTCATAGCTTCGTGATAATCTCCCGGCTCGAAGATGATGGGCGCGCCGGAGAAGACAAGTACCGGGGCGCCGGTCATGCTGAAGGCGACTGCTTGGGTGTTGGAGAAGAGGTGGAGGCGAAGAAATTCACCATGGGAGTCTTCGATGAGGAGGGGAGAGAAAGGAGGAGGAAGGGAGGGTGGTGTTGCAAGTCTGTTGCGCTGCTGAGGGGGGAGGCTGTGACACGGCGACTCTGCGACTCGGCTGCACGGCTGCTTGACCGGGGCAACTGCTACGGCGGATCCTGACGCTGTGGGTGCGGCGACCGGGGCAGGCACTGGTGCGGCGGAGGGAGCTGCTGCGGCGGGTGCGGAGGTGGAAGCAGAGGGTGCTGGAGCGGGTGCCTTTGCCTGAGGGGAGGGAGGGGCTAAGGGCGGACCAAAGAGGGGATCCATGGACCGAGTATGAGGGCGGTGGTGAAGGACAAGGGGAGAAGACACCTGGGGGGGTGGAGGAGGAGGTGGGGGAGATGGGGGAGGAGATGAGGGGATGAAGGGGCGAGAAGGAATGGTGAGTGGGTCAGGTGAGGCAGGAGAGGTGTAGTACGGGGAGGATTCGTCAAAGATGACGTCCCGACTACGAATGAGGCGACCTGAGGGGGGATGAAGGAAAAGGTAGTCAGGGGAGGAGGTGTTGTGACCAAGGAATACATAGGGTAGACTCTTGGAGGCGAGCTTCCCTGCTGTGCGTGAGAGGTCGGCTTGGTGTATGAGAACATACGCCCTGGAACCCCAGACGCGCAGGGGGGAGACGTCGGGTTTAGTTGACGTCCACAGCTCGGTGGGGGTGGTGGAGGGGAGGAGAGGGTGGGGATATAGGTTAGTGAGGAGGACGGCGTGGAGAAGAGCATAACCCCAGAGAGAAGGCGGGCAGAGGCGTGAACAAGAAGACACCTGGCGGTCTTTGTAACTTCTCGAACACGAGCTTCTGCCACGCCATTCTGCTGAGGGGAGTGAGGGAGGGTGTAAGTGTGGTGAATACCATGGATGGAGAAATAGGAAGAGAGATGGTGATTGAGGAATTCACTGCCGCCATCGGAATGGAAGCGGCGAACGGGACGACCGAAGTGGGTGCGCGCCTGCTCGGCCCAGGCGATGAAGGCCGGTGCCTCGGCCTTCGTGCGAAGGAGGGAGACCGAGGTGTATCGTGAGCGGTCATCGACCAGGACGAGGAGGTAGCGGTGCCCTTGACGGGTGGGGGAGGGGTTGGGGCCCCAGAGATCCATGTGGACAAGATCCAGGAGCTATGGGGTGCAAGAAGGGTGACTTTTATGAGGAAGTTGCTTGAGCTTGCTCTGAACACAGATGGTGCAAGGGGGGGCGGGGGAGGGAGGGAGTGGAGGGAGAGTGTGGGGAAGGCCATTGAGGAGCCCGGAGGCGACGGCCTTGTGGAGGGTGGCAAAGTTGGGGTGACCTAGGCGGTGGTGGAGGAGGATGGCAGGATGTGTAAGATCACGACAATGGCACTGAGATGTGGGGGTAGTGCGAAGGGAGGGGACATGGAAGCCAGTTACTGAACTTGAGGGGAAGAGGGGGCAGGGAAGAGTGGAGGTATGGCGGGAGGTGACCGAGAAAGTAGAATCGGCTCCAATGATGGTGGACGGGTTAGGGAGGGGGGTGAGGGCACCAGCGTCACGAAGGACTGTGACACTGGCGCCGTTTTCAATGACAAACTCAATGGAAGGAGGGGTGGGGTGAGACACGGAAGACTGGAAGGAGGTTTCATTAATAGACTCGGGATACATTGGAGGAATAGCGGGAGAAGCATGGCTAACATGGTTGATGAAGCCAGGAGAGGGAAATGGGGTAAAGCCAGGAGGTCCGGTGGGGGCCTGCGCAAGAGGAGCAGGAGCAGAGAGGCCGGAGCTCCAGGCGGAGGGAGGGGAGGGTTGCTGCTGAGACTGCTGGTGCTGCTGAGATTGTTGCAGCTGCTGGAGGAGCTGCTGCGGCTGCTGCTGAGACTGCTGCGGCTGCTAGATCTGCTGCGTCTGCTGAGTCTGCTGCGGCTGCACGGACGGAAGGAGGGGCGTGACCTGCTGGAGGATCTGTGAAGGAAGGTGCTGTGCGAGGATGTGGTGGAGAGAGGTAGAGGAGGGCTGATAGGCGGGGAGGGTACGAACATCAAAGGGAGTGGGAGGTGGAGTGATAGCAGACCAGCGAGGGGGCGTGCCCGTGTTGCCTCGATCAAGCCACTCATCAGTGAGGGAATTGAAACAGGTGGTGGTGGCATGGGTGGTTTGGAGGCAGCGCTTACCCTTGTTGGGGCCGTTGCAGATGAGATACTGACATGGGGAGAAGCCGCCGGTGCTGTTGGAACCACTGCTACCCCCGCGTCCTCCACTGCGCCCCCCGCCACGTCCACCACCCGATCGTCCCGCCGAAGTACCGCCACGGCCAGCGCCACGTCCTCCTTTTGCTTGGGCAGCATGAGCCGTCGGAGGAGACTGGCGGAGAAGCTCCGCTTCTGTTTTCAGAATCCATGCGGCTACGTAGGCGGAGGCGGGTGGGAAGCTGGCGTGAACCTCATTGAACGCCACGCGACGGGCCTCGTACATGGGTGTGAGACAGTCGAGGAGGCGGCAAACGATGAGGGAGTCGAGAAGGGGAGAGCGACGATCGGCAAGGCGTTTGGCAGTGGTGAGGAGGCGGCGCGTGAAGGAGAGGGCGTTGGGGCAGGAGTCGAGGTTGATGTCGAGGAAGGCGCGGTGGAGCGCTAGGAGAGAGTTGATGTCCTGGAGATCATAGGTGGCACATAGCTCTTTCCAGAACTCGGGAGCGGAGGAGGGGGTTATTTCGCGTTTGAGGGAGGAAGGAACGCATGCAGACAGGATAGCGAGACATTTGCGGTTGGCAATGTTTCAGGCAGAGTGGCGACGACGGTACTCACGAAAGTCATCAGCATACTTAGCCGTGGCGTCCTTGTGCTGCTGGAGAAGTGTGTTGGCAGCGTCGTGCGCAGCTTGCTCTGCATCATACACATGCTGGAGGAGAGTGTACTCCGCAAAGTCCTTGTCATACTAGTGCTGCACACGAGCCCATCGATCAGGGTCATCGGTATACACCAATGGGGAGGGCTTGGTGGGGGCCGGACCCGAGGGGGGTGGAGGTGGGGCGGGAGGTGCAGGGGAGACATCAGCAGGACGCTCTGAGGGCTGCCCTGCGTCAGTGCCAAGGAGAATGTCGAGGAGGCAGTAATCGTTGATGATTGCGGGTCCGAGGACATTTGTGAGGCTTTGGGCAAAGGTAGCCCAGTTGACAGGGACAGCGTCGTCGATGAGCTCGAGGACGTCGATGGTGGAGATGTCGACGGCGAGTGCTTCGGTGGTCATGGTGGAATTGCGGGTGCTGATGCTGTTGCTGCTGGGGATGAGGGGAGAGGGGAGAAGGAGGAGGGAGGGGAGGGGGCGGAATATGGCTGCTGCAGATGAGGCGGTTGCTGCCGCTGGTGGGAGGAGGAAGGGGAGGAGGAGGAGATGGAGGGGGGAGATGCGGCTGCTGCGGCTGATGAGGGGAGTGGGGAGGAGGTGGAGGGCGGTGGAGGGTGCGGCGGCGGCTGCTGATGCGGCGACTGCGGCTGATTGGGGGGGGGGGGGGGGGGGGGGGGGGGGGGCTGTGCGGCTTCTGCTGTTGGTGGGGAAGGAGGAGAGGAAGGGAGGGAGGAAGGGGGGTGCGCGGAGCGCAGCTCTTAAGTTGCCATAGGTGACTTAAACGAGCTGCGCGACGCGCAACCTTTGGCGGGCGCCGACGCGAAAGGCGACGGCCAGCGCGGATGGCGACGATCAGCAGCTGTGGGCAGTTGTGTGCGGTGCACGCCGGCACAGAGGTCAGCCCGGCCGAATCCCGCTTGTTAGGCGGGGGCGCCGGGACTGCACAAAGGGGGAGGAGGCAACGGAGTGCGGAGGAGACGGAGTGTCGAAATATGGCGGGAAGGCCGCGTCAACATGGTGCGGGAGCGCCGCGTCAAATTGCGGCGGAACGTCACGCCGAAATGCAACCGAGTGCCCGCGTCGAAATGCGGCCGAGCGCCGCCTCGAGATGCAGCCGAGCGCCGCGTCGCAATGCGGCAGGAACGCCGCGTCGAAATGCGGCTAGAGCGCCGCGTCGAAATGCGGTAAGAGCGCCTCGCGAAAACGTAGCGATTAAGGGCGCGAGGAGAGGCGCTTAAGGGCGCGGGGAGGGGCGCTTATGGGCGCGGGGAGGGGCGCTTATGGGCGCGGGAAGGGGCGCTTAAAGGCACGGAGAGGGGCGCTTAAGGGCGCGGGGAGGGGCGCATTGGGCGCGAGGTGGCTAGGGATCGAACCACGGAGAGACGTGAGCCATAAGCTCTGAAACCATGTGAGAAACTCAAGTGATGATTGTATTAGGAAAAGAGTGGGTATACATAGGTGAGGAGTAGGAGGGAGGGGGGGGGTTTGGTTGGGAGGTGACCACGATTATTGGTGACCCCAATAAGTTGATTTGGCCAACTTATTGGGGGTCCAATGATCCTAGCCAAGATTATTGGTGGGTCCAATAATCTTGGTTGGAATTATTGGGGGTTCCAATAATTGGGAGCCCAACCAATTTGGGAACCAACAAGGTTGGGCAACCAACCCCCAACTTGGGTGAATACACCCTAGTGGGGTGCTTATAAGTACCTAAGACAATGAAACGATGTAGGCTAATAGAATGAAGGGAGAATATTCTAACAAGCGGGAGCTGAGAGGCAAGAGAGCGGGAGCTGAGAGGCAAGAGAGCAGGAGCTGAGAGGCAAGACATCGGGCGCTGAGAGGCAAGAGAGCGGGAGCTGGGAGGCAAGAGAGTGGGAGCTGAAATGCAAGAGAGCGGGAGCTGAGAGGCAAGAGAGCGGGAGCTGAGAGGCAACGGAGGGGGAGCTGAGAGGCAAGAGAGCAGGAGATGAGAGACAAGAGAGCGGGAGCTGAGAGGCAAGAGAGCGTGGCAAGAGAGTGGGAGCTGAGAGGCAAGAGAGCGGGAGCTGAGAGGCATGAGAGTGGGAGCTGAGACGCAAGAGAGCTGGAGCTGAGAGGGAAGAGAGTGGGAGCTGAGAGGCAAGAGAGCGGGAGCTGCGAGGCGCGAGAACGGGACATGAGAGGCAAGAGAG